AGTAAGGATGTAGATGTTTCATTTATGTGAAACTTAACATGTAGTAGGGACGTAGATGTTTCATTTATGTGAAACCTGATATGTACTAGGGAGGTAGATGTTTCATTTATGGGAATCTTGACATGTAGTAGGGATGTAGATGTTTCATTTATGTGAATCTTGACATGTAGTAGGGACGTAGATGTTTCATTTATGTGAAACCTGATATGTACTTGGGATGTAAATGATACATTTATGTGAATCTTGACATGTAGTAGGGATGTAGATGTTTCATTTATGTGTATCTTGACATGTAGTAGGGAGGTCGATGTTTCATTTATGTGAAACCTTATATGTACTATGAAAGTAGATGTTTCATTTATGGGAATCTTGACATGTAGTAGGGACGTAGGTGTTTCATTTATGTGAATCTTGACATGTAGTAGGGACGTAGATGTTTCATTTATGTGAAACCTGACATGTAGTAGGGAAGTAGATGTTTCATTTATGTGAATCTTGACATGTAGTAGGGAGGTAGATGTTATATTTATGTGAATCTTGACATGCAACGGGGAAGTAGATGTATCATTTATGTGAATCTTGACATGTAGTAGGGACGTAGATGTTTTATGAACGTTAATCTTGACATGTACTGGGGAGGTAGATGTTTCATTTATGTGAATCTTGACATGTAATAGGGAAGTAGATGTTTCATTTATAGGAAAATTGTGATGTAGTAGGGAGGTAAATGTTTCATTTATGTGAATCTGGACATGTAGTAGGGAGGTAGATGTTTCATTTATGTGAATCTTGACATGTAGTACGGACGTAGATGTTACATTTATGTGAATCTTGACATGTAGTAGGGACCCAGCAAATTATTGCAATTCACTCGTATTCTCCTTTAAGGATTCAAAGTGAACTTTCCGATTCCGAAGTCATAATTTCTGTCCCGAAGGACTCTATACTTTCGCTTCCAGTCAGTGTTCAAAATCAGAGCATTGGAAAGAAAAGAACTAGGGGTGTATATAATTAATGGCGATTCTGACCCCCCTGAACCCCTTGGTCCATACGCCTGTGTACTTCAGTGACATACTTGGTCATGGTATGAGCTGTGCTTGGGGGTTTTTACAGGAGCTTCAATTTGATTGGCGTGAAAGAGGCCTAGATGACATAAATCGTCACCAGAATGCCATTCCCGACAGACTATAGAACCGTTCTTCAGGTGTTAAATTTGGTTTAATGTCTCAAAGAAATACTTGGGACAACTGACAGTCCTTCCGCATTGGATTCAGCTAATCCAAATCCAACCGCTTCATCATTGCGTTGTGAATCATCCTAACTCACTACCAGAGTATCAGACACTGTGCCATTCAGTAGGCCCTCGTTATCTATTGGAAAGGGACTCTAGTTCTTCCTCGGTTGATATACACATAGTTGCATGCATGGTTTGTGTCCCACATTGACGTGTCCAGGTTTACCCTCCGTGGACTCCCGGTTTGATTTCATCCCAGATGCCCACTAATATATTATTGGTCGTTCTTATAGTCACTGGATTTAGTGGACTCGATTGTGTACATTTGCAGGATAATGAGTCCATTTTATCCACGATCTCGAGAATAGAAATTAATCAACTTTGGTGGTTACTAATATTTTCGAGAATATATCTCCACTTAACATTTGAACGCACTCCCGGCGTATGTAGGGGTGCTGATATCTGATAACTTTTCAAGGTTGGTCAGATCCATACTCGTGGGGTACCAGAGGAGTAAGGGACTGGTAGACTATTATAATGAGTGTGTGTGTGCGTCCGTGCGTGCGTGCGTGCGTGCGTGCGTGCGACATGGGACATGATGAAAGGGACATTTTGGGAGAGGTGTTTTATTCCATTAGAAACCTCCATTTGGCCAAAGGTCAAAGGGAGATAACCCAATCACCCATGTCAGATAACCTCCATTTGGCCAAAGGTCAAAGGGAGATAACCCAATCACACATGTCCGATACTCGTCTTGGTAATTTGTAGTGAGCGGAATTTGTGATGTGTTCACATGGATGTGGTTTCATTGGCTTCGCACTGGCAATTTGTGTGATTCGGATGCTCACACCGTAGTCCTTCCCGAAATGCTACATCGACAAGATTCCATTTAACCGTCGCGCTGTTCGTGGTGAAAGGGACATAACTGTAAACCCGGTTTACTATTTGGTGAGTGGAGTTATCCCCCTTTGAAAAGGGACATCATTCTGTATTTATTTTCACAATTAACTCCCTTTCACAGAGTGCTCACGTTGTGCTTGTCATTTTTTTTAGCGAAACAGTGTGCGGAGTTCAGTTAAGGGAGTGAACTCCCGTTAATCACGATTACCTCCCTTTGACCATAGTCGAACATATTGCCGACGAACACAGACTTGTGACGGACTGTATTACTAAGCAAGACCACCAGCATCGATATCGCACGAATGACCCAGGAACCAGTCTAATTTGCGCTTGTCTTTGCGATGTATGTTTCAGAAGTCAAATCCTTTTTAGCAGAAAACAATCATATAAAGGATCTGGAATATTCAAATGTGGGTTATAATATTCACGTAGATATAACTGAATCAGCATCGTGGCAGCTGTGATACCAGAAGAGTAACGACGAGCAGACCCGTGAAAATTCGGGTTAGAACTGATCTTCAGTAACCCATGCTTGTCGTAAGAGGCGACTAACGGGATCGGTTGGTCAGGCTCGTTCACTTGGTTGACACATATGCCATCGTTTCCCAGTTGCGTATATCGATGCTCATACTGTTGATCACTGGATTGTCTGTTCCAGACTCGATTATTTACAGACCGCCACCATATAGCTGGAATATTGCTGAGTGCGGCGTAAAACCAAAGTCACTCATTCACGCTAAGCAGGGTAAAGGAGCTTGTTCCGTCAAAGGTGAAGGTAGACAACTCTGTCACCCATTTTAAACAGTTACTCAACTCGATGTTTTGTAGTTACCGGAATAATTGCTGCGTTGACGTGATTGTGGTTTCATTTCGTGCTTGGCACTGACGATTTTCATTCAGTTAGACAAGACTCTTTGGATTTGAGGAGTCGAAGGGACATAACTGTACACTGAATGTACTTATCTCCCTTTGATTTATTTATTACGTGGTTAACTCCATTCAACTGAGGGTCACGCTGTGCGCGAGGTTTTAAACGAGACACTGTGAAGAGTTGAGGCATAGTAGTCAACTCAGGCACAAACATGATTACCTCCCCGCTACCATCAATGACACTACTTTTGCGATATTAACATAATTTCTTCTGCAAAATCCATTTAAGAAGAAAAAGAATCGCATATAGGACAAAATACCATACATTCAAATCCAGTTAAAGGTTGTATACGGGAGGGTAGTTTGAGTAGGTGGGCTTCTCTCAAAACCGAATGCTTTTTTGGCATTTCTCAATCTTTAATGCATTATTATATACTCATGCCAATAATGGTTGTCACTCCCTTCATTTTTTTTAATTGGAGGGGTGGGGTGTGTGAGGTATGTGGGGGTTGGGGTGAGGAGGGGGGTGACAACCATTATTGGCATGAGTATATAATTATTAAACAACAACCTTATTTCTAGACAACCAAAAATAACATATGACACATCATGTTCTGTTGTTGCCTGCTATAATTGCGACGTGGCATGGGGATGGCTCAATATGAAAATATTGTGCAATCTAGTTGGCTTCCTCATATACACCATTCCAGATAGTGCCATCCTCACGCTCGGTTCGCGATTCTTCCATTGCTGACAGCATCTCGCGTGACTTGTCCTGAAGAAAGTATGACAGTTGGACAGCTATCATCAGTATATGCTCACACACAACCAATGAAGTCATATTTCAAAATGGCATTAAGATGCAATCCTGCTTTGTCATCAGTGTTTGCCTGCAGGTACTCCAGAGACTGAACAACCACGGGAAATACGTTACTGAATATTGTTAGAGTATCTGCCCTGCTGGTCCACATCGTCCCGCATAACCTGACGATCTTTGTCTTCCTCTGCAAGGTATCTTTGACATTAGGAGAATTGTCAAGTCCTTCTTGAAAAGCATCCATTCGTTTGGCCGAGTAGTGGAACACACACTCAACCTCTTGAACTATTGCCTTCATTGTGCGCACACATGCTTCTCTACAACATGGAACTACTGACAAGTTCAAACTGTGCCTTACAATGGACGTACAGAGCATATTGCACATGATGCTTCAGTTATGATCCACATATAATCATGAAGGTAACAAAACATTCGTGGAGATGAACATACATGTCGATGGAAAAACAATCATCACTGAAAGAGTGAGTGAGTGAGTGAGTTTGGCTTTACCCCGCTTCTATTCCAGCAATATCACAGCTTTGGACACCAGAAATGTGCTTCACACATTGTACCCATGTGGGGAATCGAACCCTGGCCTTCGGCGTAACGAGCGAACGTTTTAGCCCCAAGGCTACCTCACCGCCCCTATCATTGAAAGAGTGAGTGAGTGAGTATGGTTTTAGCAATATTCCAGCAATATCACGGCGGGGGACACCAGAAATGGGCTTCACACATTGAACCCATGTGGGGAATCGAACCAGGGTATTCGGTGTGACGAGCAAACGCTTTAACCACTAGACTACCCCACCGCCTCTATCACTGAAAGACTGACACCTTTCAAATGTATCATATGAAGAATAACAAGTTTCCTGTACATGGTTACTGTATTGGTAATGCTTTGTTATCAAAGAATACTGTAGTCTCTATGATTCATAGAGAGATAACCATCCCTTAAATTGTTCTGAAAAAGTGTTTGTGGGTATTTTTGGCAAGAATTAGAAAAACTAACTTCTTTTAGCAGAAATCATGTGTAAGCACGGGCTTTTTTCATAATGATAGAGTTACGCCACTGGTGATTGCCTGTTTCACAAAATGTTTTTCGATATAGCAAATTATTCTAATTTCAAATTTACCGCGCTTGAGTAACAGGAAGTGATCATCACATGACGTTGACGTCATAGTCCGTCGGCCATTTTATTTCGCAAGTAAACACTGGTTGAAATCGGAATAACCTTTGAGTCAGACTCACGTTGAAGTTTGTTGTTTCTTTGACGTTTTACACAGTCATATTACAGGCAACTGACTGAAGATGGGTTGTATTATTGGCAGCGTAAGTAATTAGAAATTTTGACTGAAATCGCAAGGATTGTATTTACAAAGGACTGAATTAATAACATAAACAAAGTAAAAATGACAATTCATGACCAGTACTAAGAAACCTCAGTATGACTGTCTGCTTTCACATTTGGCATTATAATCTTATGTATCACTTTGAAAGTTCTTATGCTAGTCCCACTGGAAACTGTCTTGTTGCTTTAGATAAGAACGTGTTATCAGCTGGATTTTACGAATAATATAGGTGCGTGTTGGCGGAAGTGAAGCATATTGTTCCGTATAACTGCCACCATTGTTGGATGACAATACCTAAGTCTAAACACAGCTTACTTGTCACAATATTTTCGTGATTGCCTACATTATATGTGTTCTGAAAGTTTTATCACATAACTGCTTAACTTGATTATCGTATAAATCCCGGTCATGGCCACATTTACAGTCGTATTCTATTATTTCTAATAGCATTCAAATCCTATTCTTAGTGATAGCAACTCATTAATCTACCCAGTGTAAGCTTACAATTCTGAAAATTCTGTAATATCCAGAGTACTTAAATCGATTATGGTAAGAGTTCCGACCATAACCCACGCTCGAAATATATTCTATTTATTATGATTATTTCAAGGGTTTGGGTTTAGATTTAGCGTTATGTTACTAGGTTTAGTGTTAGGGTAGGTTTTCCATAAAAAAACATCTATTCTTACTCTAAATCTTAGACAGAGAATGATAAAAACGGGGGTTATGGGCGGGAATCTTTCCAGCTAGCAGAATTGTGTTTCCTGGTGATTAGTTTTAATAGGAATAATGCCATTCGTTGGTTTCACATTACTTTTCAACTCGCTGAGCGCATGTGCAGAGCGTGTGAAAAATATCCACTGGCATGCTTCCGGTTTGTTCGTAAGTTAATTGATAGTGTAAATGCACGCTAAATAAAAGTTGTTATGAAAATTATTTACGTTGTGACAACTGTTCATAGCTGAGTACATACTTCCATTTTCCTCTGCTTTTCAATAATTGATGGCCTATTTTGGTTGCAACTCCATCAGATATGTGTTTGTTTAGTTGTGAGAAGGGGATGTGCAGGGAGGACGGTGGTGGTGAGATGTCTTTATACAGGAGCTTGTTAACATAACTGAAGCTATTTATTCAACTAATCCCGGCCTCTGTTTCATAAATCAACTGGGATCAGTTGTATTCGACATAAAACTATATAATTTGTTTTGATTTTTGTTTTCTTTGGAGTGTTTATGCTATCGATAAAAATACGACCAAACTGGAAGCATGCCAGTGGATAGTTTTCACACGCTCTGCGCATGCACACAGCGAGTTGAAAAGTAATGTGAAACCAACGAATGAATGGTCAGAGATTCAAATACACTCGTGTTAGTTTACATAACAGCTCTCATGGGTCCAATTGAGTGTTTTTCTGACGATCTTGCGGGCTTGTTTTGGAGATTTTACTTCTACTTTCCAACATTTTGAGGAAATATAATTATAAATTGCTACGGGTTTCAAAACAATATATTATTATGTATAAGTAATCAACTTCAGTCTTTAACATTGGGCTTACATTTGACATCTGTGGGTATATTTTAGTCTGATGTTTCTTGCGTCCTTCATAATTTTTTTCAGCATATTCATTTTAAAATCCCAGCAGGGATATGGCAGCAGGATTATATGAATGTTCAGTTTGGGAAATATTTTACTGTCATTTTTGAAGATCTGTTCTAGGAAATTATATATCTGACATAACCATTTTTGTATTAGCATGTTCATATTCCATAAAACAAAACCCATTTGTGATTCATAAACGTTATTCAGAAATGTTCTTTTGTGATTATTAAACGAATATGTATTCAGAAATGTTCTTTTGGAAATATATGGATTATTAGCCTGTTAGAATATGTTATTTCGCCATCGCCGAAGTGGGTTAACCACATGGGCACAATGTGTTAAGCCCATTTCTGTGTCCCACCTTCATATTGCTTGAATGTCAAACTAAACTCAGTCAGTCAGTCAGTGTATCAGAGAGGTTGTTAATTCCTTAAAAGAAATAGATAAAAACAAACCATAACAGCAATACAGTATACTTTGGTGATATTTAGTACCATTGGCATCAAACAGGACCAGAGTTATTGTTCTTGTTTGAAGTTGTTCTGATGTTCATACACCAATATGAAAAACATCCGGCTTGTCCTGGAATAACACAAGTTGGTCACACATATTGGATTCTTATTACTAGTACAGTCATCCCTCGCAATAACGCTTTTCGCGATACCGCGGATTCGGTTAAACCGCGGGGTAATCCGTGGCTCCCATAAAAAAAGTTGCCCAGTGATCACACATATTCACGTCATCGAAAATAGCACATCAACAAATCCGCTCTTGAGCTCTGATTAATCACGTTATAAAGTAGTGAAATTCAGTGCGGATTGCAATTAACAGTGTTTATCGTACATATTCATGGTTTTTCAGATGCTTAAAACATGCAGGGTCTTTTTCAATAATAATTGATGAACAGCGAAACATGTTGATTATCAGCCGAGTACTTACAACGTTTCTTATGATGCAACACACTCGCGTAATTGCGCGGGTAAACACCGCCATCCGAGAATGTATGATGTCAGAAAACACATTTTATTTGATTAAATTCAATCCCATTTTCATTCATTAAAACTGTCTACAATAACAACGGAGAAACCGTGAGTGAAATGGCATTACCTCATTCCATACAACACCCGCTTACCACATTCGTGAGGGTCCGTTTTTCGCGCCTACTGCGAAAACACCAATTTCACATTTTTCTCAGCAATCACGAACAGATTACAGCCTTGTCATCCATTGACCCCAAGACCCGCGTTATTGACTTATTGAAGTCATATTTGACAATTAATTGCCAACATTTTGTTTTTACAATCAAAGTGGCACGTACCGCAGGAAGTCAGCGGTGACTTGTCAAACTGTCTCCTACGTAAAATGTATCCAGCCAGGTAACCCAAAGTGCTTAGCAATGCTTATTATTATGTTAAATATGATTGTAGAAAACATGCATTATACTTATACCATAGCAATATATAAGATCTCTGTTAGAATAACTGCTTGACATATAAATTATTCTGATAATGGAATAGAAATTCTTTGATGTTATATTTTCGGATCGTTTTTAACTGAATCACCGGTACATTGGACCAAAACATCGATGTGTGCCCAGCTGATTGCTATTTCCGGCTTAGTTGAATAACAGGTAGCATGACAGGAACAACAATTGAATTATCATGTCTTGTGATGTTTGATTGCAAGTTTCATGTTCATACATCTATTTTTGATTCACACATATTTTGGTTTTTTTTCACCTCCAACAATACGATATAGTTTTGACTGGGCACAATACACGAAATAGCAGTTTTGTTATGTCCATGGAAAATACGATTTTACTTGGCCTTTGTTCCGCGTTATGTAATCGTTACTTATAACGCGGGTGTCTAATAATGCGGGGGGACATCCATGGACCCCAAGACCCGCGTTATGGCGAGGGATGCCTGTACTTGAAATGAAAAAGGTGTCACATTGCATGTTGGTTGAAAAGTGTATTGCCATGTTATCATTCCAAACCATAAGGTAATGTTTGAATACCATGAATATATTATATTTTCATCGGCCCATCCCACAAAAAAAAATGTTTCTCACCGATGGATGTAAATATTCATGAAGAAAAGTTTTCCTCAAATGTTGTACATCCTTAATCCTCTGAATACTGATTACTGCAGGTGGACACACATTTAGAGTCAGTATTGCTCATGAGTTTTGAGTGTGGTAATACTGGTATACACATCACCCATTGTTGTTAGAAATCCTTAAGTTAAATTATTCAACATGGTTATGATAAGTTAAAGAACTAAGTATTTTCAAGAGAAAATAATTTTGGTGTTTTGTAAAGTGCTAAAATGTTGAATATTTTCAGAGATGTGTTTTCACTGGGGATTGTTTCAGCTTGCCTGCTGTTTTGGTAGTGCAGCATGCAGTCTCTGCTGTGCGTGCTGTCCTTCCACCAAGAATTCGACAGTTACTCGAATTGCCTATGCCTTTTTGCTGCTCATCGGGACTGTGGTAGCAGCCATTATGTTGACACCAGGGATTCGAGAACAACTGGACAAGGTGTGTATTGAGTCTTTATTAAACATGGTGTGATAAAACATACAGTATATTGAGGTATATAATTGTTTTGGAGAGTGAGCATGAATGCATTATGAGGGTGCATGAATATCCCACTTGTCAAAGTAAGATGTCCTTGAATGCAGAGTTGTGTCCCCTTAGACATGGTATTAGAACATGTTCCAACAAACTCATTCAGGCTAAATAACCTTGTCAAGTTGTAACTATAGCACCCAAGGACCTATCTTGAGTGTGTTTGTTTTCAACAGTTGTATACCATATATACAGATACAAACTGATGCATGTACCCATACTGCCATGCATGGTTTCATAGCAGTTCATTTTGTATTGATTGTCATCCAAAACGTGTTCAAACTGTGTTTCAAATTTGGTAAATACTATATGCCCTATCCAGGTAAATCAAGTCACGAGGCATGCCCTTACGTATAATCGATAGATGCCTTCATCATTTTCATGCATTAGTTTCTTGCCAGATCTGTGCCATGGGTCAGGATATATATACCATGTAGTGATGTATATGATCGTTACGATGAGAACATGATTTGACGACTCTCTGCTTCAGTTGTGGAGCATCAGGATACTGGATCATGTTGATAGGTAGTTTGATCAGTAGGCCTTTGCATTCTGGATGTGATATATGTACTGAAATGGGCAGATGTTCTGGACAATATACATCCTAAAGTGAGCAGAGTTTCTTGAAGATGTACATGAAATTGAATGGCTTCTACTTTGTAAATTTCAGTCTTCTTTCTGTTACTACTCTATCACCTATGTTATACCAATGGGCTTGCCTTTCTTCTCATTCAGATACCAATGTTATGTAACCCCAAACTGGGGTACCAAATTGGCTCTGGCAAAGTGTGTGATGAAGTTGTGGGGTACCTGGCTGTCTACAGAGTATGCTTTTCTATGGCTGCCTTCTTCTTCCTCTTCATGCTAATTATGATAAAAGTCAGCTCCTCAAAGGACCCAAGATCTGGCTTACAGAATGGGTAAGTTCTTGTTGTGTAGTGAAATTAACCCAGCAGTAGACAGGCTTATTTCATGTATTTGGCACTAGGATAGTGCCTTGGGGTAGTTTTGGAATTCTTAGAAAATACGCCTAGCTAATTGTTGTATGCCATGCATGTTGTAAGACCACAGTTTTATGGGGACTGTATGCAAACAATAGATCCTAGGTGAGTGTGGTGGGGGTAGTTCTTGATGACTGACTGCAGGGAAAGCTATAATTTTTGCTTGTACCTGACCATGGAATGTATCCAATGCCATGTGATCTTTTCATGTGAAGTTAAAGCTTTTCCACTGGAAGAGGAAATTTCTTTGTGGCCTCGAACCTGATATTCAGAAGCTCATTAACTACACCTTTATAAATGTTTCATGCGACTGTGAGACTGATCGACTAATCATAGATTCTTGAGGAAATATCTGGAAATTGACTAGCATAAATAAAATGCTAATGCATTGTTTCTGAACTCAGCGTTTTTGCAAATGTTGGAAGGGGTGAAAGCATGCCTGTGATCGAATATTTTCTCTGTCTGTTGACTCAGTCTGTGTATAGACTGACAGAGAGCAACATCCTACAGCAATATATATTATTTCAGCATCTATTTGACACATCTTTATGATCCCTTTTGAATGATGAGATAATTACTGTAATCAATGATCATGATGATGAACACTTTTCATCAGCTCAGGTTCATAGACATCTTGGGAAATTTCCACCATTACATTGACTGTGTTAGTCATTGTGATGTCCTGTTCTCTACATAGATGTACAATGAGACTTTGTCACTTTCACAGACTTATTGAATATGATGGGGGTGATTGGGAAACCATGTTGTGTAGCATTGTTGTTCTAAAGACAGGTCAGGGATTTACCATGAGTCCTGTATTTGAGGGTGCCTGGGACTCATGCTTATACACTTCAGGGGTCTTGGACAACAAAATGGGGATTCCCAGACACTTAAATATTATTATTGATACTGTTATTGTATTGGGTATCATGATCATCACATTAATTGTTACAGTAATGAAATTGCAAATGATCCCATAACTCAGCTAGTAGCAAACTCAGTGATAACTTCTTGTTACTTGATTGGAATTTTTACAAAAGTATTTGGCCTTTTTCTGTGTCCCTGTGGATGCCCTAATAAATTTCGTTTGCGTTCATTGTCAATTTTTGTGTTTATAGGACACAGGAATTCGTGTCCTGTAAATCCCTGCAGGTGTTAACTTCATGAGTGCAAATGTGGGAATATTCTTGGCATGCCCAGGATAGTGCTGGTGTCATTGCACCTTGCTCATATGGGCTGCTGATGTCATACTTGTGACAAACACCTGAACATGATAAATAGAGATTATTAACTGAGTGTTTCCGTATCATTAATATCATATATTAGGAATAAAAATTGCATTATGCGAGCCTTTGATGATGATATTTATGATACGGAAACACACACGAGGTTAATCATCTCTTTTTCATATAATGTCATTCTTAAAATTACTCTTAAAGAAGAAGCAAATCGTATGTATTTAAATGAAAAGAATCGAGCATTCGCGTAAGAATACTTAGCGGTACACCAAGGTGAAGGTCGTTCATGATGGCGGCATATGGTTGTGACTAGTCGCTAGTGCAGTGCAAACATAACTCATGCTTAAAATAAGATCTTTCTGTCTAAAATGAACAACAAAATCAGGCAGGGTTTTCTTGGGAGTGTTTCAATTTTCACTGTGGGTAATCACCTCATCAATATCAGTTGATACCTGACGGAATCAGTTCATCGTCTGTATTGTGATCGATAAATCGAAATCCTTGGTTGGTACCTTTCTTAGACGATTGCCTTTCAATTGTGCCTCATAATCCGTACCTTCAATTTGAACGAAGTACTCCGTTTCATGTTTTCCAAAGACTGCAGTAACGACTCCAGAACCTCGATCTGTCATCAATTCTTACAGAATCACCAAGTTTGAGAATGGGGGCAGCCATGTTTGTTTACAAACAATGTAAACTCTCGGCGACATCATCAATGAAATGTTAAAACATTTTAGGATTCGCATGGCGTGTATGAATTTTGCGAAAGTAGTTCGTGGATTGACGTAACTTGCATAGTTGTCAGATTTTGATACCAAGTTTATCAGATTGCTTTATTGCACCGATAACACCCTCCATTATATGATAAAATCCATTATCAGCTAGCTACTTCTGGATCATATTTACATAGAACTGCATAAATAAGCTACTAGTAGTAGTTTTGATAGATTTAATTATTTAGTGTTGAATTGAAATTGAAACTGCATAAAACTAGCTTCAACATGATCAGACAGTGAGATATCTGTTGTAAACAAGTAACTTGAAGTTATTCCCATAGCATTAAGAAATTTCTCTTCAACATGTGCTTCATTTATCAAGACTTTTTATTTTGTTTTCAGGTTCTGGTTCTTTAAGATCCTGATCATCATTGGTATTTGTGTTGGAGCCTTCTTCATTCCACAAGGAGCCTTCGGCCAAGGTTTGTTTTAATATTAATTACATCAGCATTATTATTATTATACGGATATTTATAAAGTGCTATCCCATCTACATGCATGCTCAAAGCACTTTGTTTTTCCTCGATCATTGGATGTCAGTCTCAACGGTACATCATATTTTCAATCTCAACTCCCTGGGGATCATACAACTCGTGCAGCCACTAGGCGCGCCAAGTTAATGTGGCTTTCCAATCCTTATGAGGTACCCATTCACAGCTAGGTGGACTGGGACACACTCGCATATGGTGCTGCTGTTGTACAGTGAAAAATATGGAGATGATGAATTTGTATGTACATTTTTGGCAATGTTTGTTATAACCACTGTGTGATGAATGTGGTTGTTTGTTATCATCAGTCATAGATACTGTGTGTACGTGACATTGTCTGTTGTGTCTTGTTTGATGGGTGAGGTCTTTGTACTCAGTGAAGCGCTTCATGTTAATTGATTCAATCACTGTCATGGGCCTACTGAACTGTGACACAAAGATTGTGATTAAAGCATCTTGTAATTGCAGTTACCTTTAAATAACCTGTACATGCTATAGGTTCCTCACTATTCAGAAATATACAGAATCAGCTTATAGTCTTTAGGCCATACAGTTTATACATTAATTCTATTAACAAACATTGGGTTACTTGTTATTCTAAAAACTGTCAAAAGTGCACCAACTTAACCCACATTTTATTGTTGTGCCCTTGGTGTTATGGCTACCAAGCTGTACCTTTTTTTTCTTCTATGATTTTCATATATTTGTGTTCAAGAACGAAGCATATCAATTCTACGCAATTTGTATAAGTCTTGTTATTGTTATAATCAAGGCGGTTAACCCTTTTGATATTGTTTCATTATTCTTCATTTCAATCATGTTCATGGTGTTAATGTGCATTAACCAGCGAGATTTCAGTTAGGTTCATTATGAATAAAGCGCATGGAAGAATACATTTATTTACATAATTTCTCCAAACACCTTCCCATTTTGGTTGTATTGCAGATCACATTGTTAACAAGTCTACTGTTAATCCCGGAAGTCCAATGATAATCTGATAATTCCAGAAGAGTTATTTACATGCTGGCGAGGTACAGTTCAAGGTATTTGTTAACATGAAACGTGATGATCATTTCAGCATGGATGGTGATTGGGATGATTGGAGCCTTCATCTTCATTATCATCCAGCTGATTCTGCTGGTGGACTTTGCTCATGGCTGGGCTGAGAGCTGGGTTGGCAAGTGGGAGGAAACCGGCTCCAGATGCTACTACATCGGTGAGATGTCCTCCCTGTCTCATGAGGAGGGTTTGGTATTATGCAGCATGGAGCCTACTAATTAATGATATTGGTTAAATCTCTGACTGCTCTTGGACACTTTTCTGTGCAGCTTTCTCATGTGTTCACTCCAGATACTATTGCTTTTGTATTCTTGTAGATAGTCTATGAATCATCAGTTCTCATCAGTATTAACAGATTATGAAAGTAATAAAATGTGTCTGTACTACATTTACATAAGAAGCTAAATGTTGGATTGTAAATTAGCCTTCTTTTTTGTTTGTGTGCGTGTTGTCTGTGTTGGTAGTGACTTGCATTCTTATTATTCGTGAAAGGTTTGGTCTTATTGCTTAACCATCCTTACTGACGTTGTTGACCATGATTTAATACAAATTTTTGTGTTCCAGGTCTGCTGTTCTTCACAGGGTTTTTCTACTGTGTTGCCATAGCCTTGGTGGCAGTTTTCTTCGTATTCTATGCCAGTGTAAGTCTCACACGCCATACAGCGTCAACAGATGGCAGTTTCATTACAACTTCAGTAATCTTTGTATAATTCACTATGATGCTGTTTTTGACAGCGTTTTTATACTAGTATATGTCTTTGTGATGTTAGCAGTGGACCCAATTTGAACAGTCAAATGATAAATACTGAATGCTCTTGAATGACGATGTGAGATTTGTCCAAAAACTGGAAACAGGATAATTGTGGTTAAGTTGTCCTGTAGTTAGAATGCTGACCATAAACAACGTAAACACTGTCAGTATAAATCCTCCGTCACTAAGTAGCATTGTATTCTGTATTGGCATAATACCCAGTGAAGATCTGGTATAAACTCGTCTTCAACTTTACATGCTTGTGAGAGGTGACAATGTATTTGGCTTGTCCAGGCTTGCTAACTATTTAAAAGTATTTTTTTCATATCCCAACTGCAATCAAACAAAATGCTGTACACAAGTTAAATCAACTACGCAAGACACATTCCTATTGACATTCTAAGACGGGTCATGCAAGTTACATAAGTAAAATAAACTACGTAAGATGCATTCCTATTGACATTCTAGGATGAGTCATACAAGTTATGGGGCGGTGGGGTAGCCTTGTGGTGAAAGCGTTAGCTCGTCACGCCTAAGACCCGGGTTCGATCCCCCACATGAGTACAATGTGTGAAGCCCATTTCTAATATTGCTAAAAGCAGCGTAAAACCAAGCTCACTTACTTATACAAGTTACATAAGTTAAATCAACTATGTAAGATGCATTCCTATTGACATTCTAGGACGAGTCCTGCAAGTTACACAAGTTCTTCCTGTCATTCAACCTGGTCCTGTGTGTGCTCATCAGCATCCTTGCTGTGCTGCCCAAGATCCAGGACTGTAAGTAACATACTCATCACTTCTGTGTCACAGTTTCAGCTAGTCATGACTGATGTGACCCAGATACCAGTACAAGCAGTAATAGTCTAAGACCCATACTGTTTGAGGCAGGTCATATTTAACAGGATTAGGATCACATCCTTTGTTTAACCATTTGGCAACAAGCAGATGCCATGTAGAGCTTACAATTTGATGTAGTGTATCATTGCCTATGTCTTTTCACTTTTTACGTGTGAGAAAGCAGTTAGAGGTGAAGGTCATCAGGGTAACAATGAGATAGATATTGAAAGTTAGCTTTTCTGGACCAAGAATGGTAACAGTAAATTAAATATGGTTGGTTTATTGATACAAAAATTGATCTAGTAAGAATTATTTAGGATGAAATGCAGAGTTTTACTGTCTGTAAAAATGAGTGCGTACTGGCTTTTGTTTTCATGTATATTGATGGTTATGATGACCTGCAAAGTTATGCATATTGCATTGAAATACACAGGAGTCATCAGGGTGCTGAGTTTAGCAATGTGACACAACTCATAATTATCCCCCGCAACGCATTTTGTGGGGGTATTAAAATGGAGTACGTCCGCCCATCTGTGCACATTTGTCTTTTCCGGAGCAGAACTCTAAAACCGTTTCACTATTTCTTCACCAAACTTGGCACATAGATAGATCTGGTGGTGTACTGGTGCCTTTTGGTAGTTTTGGAATTCTGAATAAAATATTTTTGTTGTTTCCTTGGCAACAAGGTTTGACTTAGCCTGAAATTGGTGGTAGTGCACTTTTCCGGAGCAGAACTCTAAAACCGTTCAATGTTTCTTCACCAAACTTGGCACATACATAGATCTGGTGGTGTACTGGTGCCTTTTGGTAGTTTTGGATTTCTGAATAAAATATCTTTGGCATTTCCATGGCAACAAGTTTGACATAGACTGAAATTGGTGATAGTGCTTCTTTCTGGAGCAGAACTTTAAAAACCTTTCAATACTCTCCTTCCACTTTTCTATATACACACCTAAATATTTGACATAATCATAACTCATAGACATAATCATGAAGAGTATTTTGCCATTGCGGGGGATATTGATGACTTTATCTTCTTGTTCATATTTAATGTTGGACAACTGTGTCATTGAGTTTTTATTCATGGCTGTCTGGAAATAATTAAGTAGTCATTAACAACAGCACTGACACAATTACATATTCTCTGAATTGAACCGTATCCCTTCATGTATTCAATTTGCAATTGTTATGGTTAATAATTTGCCGTGACAAAAGGTTTAAGAGTCCCCTTTGAACCAGCAAAATAGAACACAGACAAGTCTAAAATATTCAATAATATATTGAGCAAACTATGAACAAGCTACAATGAATGACAATACAGATATCTAGTACAATGCCATTGAATCACAAATCTAAAATATTGGGTCACAAATATAAAATATTAACTCACCAGAGTCTTGACATTCACGGTAATACCCAGGAAGGTCCGAGTTAGAATTTACCTTCAGTAACTCATGCTTGTCCTAAGAGGCGACTAACGGGATCGGGTGGTCAGGCTCGCTGACTTGGTTGACACATGTTATTGGTTGCCAATTGTGCAAATCGATGCTCATGCTGTTGATCACTGGATTGTCTGGTCCAGACTTTATTATTTACAGACCGCCGCCATATAGCTGGAATATTGCTGAGTGCGGAGTAAAACTAAACTCACTCACTCACTCATTCACGGTGAGAACAGATATGCAGATTGAAGGTTGTTTACAATGACAGTAGTTGAATAGTCAAGCACGATCTTGAAATGTTGACAGACAGACTTGACGACGGCAGGCAGATGTATCAGCTCGATGACGGCAGACAGATGTGTATAACTTCGTCGCACAACACAACAACCAGCCTTTATATAGCTCTTACACAGTTCTCGAGCATACTACTACTAGCAAAGCTAGGCAGCATCATTATCCACTCAGAATGTTGAAGAACACACGGCATGATGAAAGCCGTAAATATACAAGATTGCCAAGGGAGGCAACTCTAAATAGCTATCAAAAAGGCGTGCCGCTAAAAATACTATTGCCATTGAACATATATTGAACCACAAAAGAAATGTTGCATTGATAGGGGTTTCTTAAAGCACACACTTTAATTCACTCTTATTAACAATCAAAATGGAAGACTGAGTTCAAACTTGACAATTATGGTTAACACATTTTTGGGAAACACATTTAGAGTTCACACAAACAAAATCACCAAAAATGGTACCATTAAGATACCCCAAAGTCAGTATCGTGTGGCCTATATGGGCATCGATGAAATCGTTGCATCGTCTGTACATGGAATGAATAAGCCGGTCGATGAAGGTCATACGCACTTGGGTCAATACTCTGCGAAATGCCTGATTGAGTCCAGTCGTAGTTGTCAGCCTTGGTTGGAGGCCATTCAGTCTTCTTTGAATCTCGTCCCTAAGATGTTCTTCTGGACTTAAATTCGGAGTGAGTGCAAGATTTTGTAGGGTTTGGATGCCATGCTATCTTAGGAAGTCCAATGTTGCTCTGGCAGTGTGGGCACGAGCGTTGTCTTGCTGGAAGATGTGATTTCTGTAACGTCCAAAATGTGGTACAACGTTGGGTCTTATGACTTAATCAATATAGCGAGCAGCTATCATGTCATTTCCTCATCCTGATCCAAGATTCTGGAACACCACGGTATTAACTAACTGGTTCATGATGCTTGGACTACCACACAAGTCTCTTTCAACAATACACTCATTGGAAAACATTTCACCGCGCCCTCGTCATACTCTCACTCTGCCATCAACTGTCGAAACACAAAATCGGCTTTCATGAGATAACAGCACAATTCTCCATTGTCGATAACGCCAATTTCGATGCTGAGTTGCCTTGCCCATTTTGGTCGGTTTTGGCGGTGATGAGTGGTGAGGACAGGACTACGATATGATCTGTGACAGTAGAGGTTTCTTTCGTGCAAACGCCCACGCACTGTATCAGCACTGATGGGTCTGTTGTGAGGTTTCCGTCGCTTTGGGGAAGCGATCCTGCAGATGGTGGCGCACATGACGTTGTGATGGTACTGAAGGTCGCCCACTGCGTGGACTGTCTTGAATGCTGTTAGTGACCTGATATCACTCCTGCTGACCTAACATGAACATTAAAATGATTGGCTACCCTCCGTGCAGTCTGGACAACTTGCAACTGTCCCACGGTTTGATTCCTCTGATCTCTTGTAAGACGTGGCATGGTGGTTGTGTCAAAACAAAAATGATTTCAGGTGAGTTTTGTACTCGCTTTCATTGGTAGGGTTGTCATGACATGCACGTGCATTTTCAATGTCACGAATGTGACCTTTTACCATGTCTGCCTTTTTCTGTGCGTTTGGTCGATAGGCTCTTTCATCAAAAACACACTGATGTTGGTAATAACTGTCAATTTGGATTGAAAAACATGTTAACAAAACAGTACAATCATAATAAAAACACCACCTTGCAAGAACAAAATTTTGCATTTGGTTTTGAAAAGTGACGTTTCTTTTGCGGTTAAGTATATATGATATGCGAGATGTGAGCCACAACCCACACTCTAAACTTTAAACATTGTGACCCATTATAACTATCACTTAATCAATGTTAACACAAATTGCAAAAACACACTCTCATAACACAATCACTAAAATCAAATATTTGTGATTTTTTTAAAAAGAATGTCCTTACTTAAATTTGTGTATATTTTATCCCCCCAAGATGTGCAAAATGGAATATTTCCAACCCATGCAGGATAATAGTCAATAGTTATTTTGCCAGTAATTAACACTTTCAACATTGTGAAAACATGCCATAGAACTATTTGTTATTGTTTCACTAAATATAATGAATAATACATTAACTGATGACTTATTATTTTATTCATTTCCCAATATTTGTGTTTGTTACCCCCTATTTGTGATATGTATCATGTTGGCCTTATAGTTGAATTGTTGCAGCCCTAATTATTCCATTACAAACCCTTGCAATCTATGCCTGTGTCAAATATATGAATTGGCGAAAAACCCTCTTAGTGTGGTTAACCAATGGCAGTATTTCTGCTACCAGAGGTGTTAACAAAGGGAACTAGTCTCGGATTAAATTTGGGCAAGAAAAATATAAAATCTAATGCTCCCTACTCAGTAATTATTTGAATTAACCGTATTACTGGTGAGCCTATTATTTTGAAAGGAAGTTTTTCTTGTGGTGGATCTAGGAATTGTCAATGTGTTTACTTCATTTCAATAATAATAATAATAATAATAGTCTTAAATGTGAAACTGAGAGCTTCCTTTTTGCTGCTGATAATTGCCAAAATGTGATTCTAAAAATATCAATATGAAATGTCGACTATGTAATGAATTTTCAGAGACTGTCCAACATCTTATCAGTGGATGCCCTTCCTTGGCACAAACAGCATATCTTAAACGACATGATGGCATGGCTCGTTGCTTTTACTACCGTCTCCGCCATGTATGTGGCTTTGACTCTGAGGTCCATCCATGGCACGACCCTGAACATGTCCAGGGCGTCATGGAAAATGATGCTTTCAAACTTCTGTGGAATAGGCCTATATACAGCCTCAGAAGAATTCCTGCCAACAAACCTGATCTTGTCCTTTTTGATAAAGCAAATGAATTTATTTATATCATTGAATTTTCTGTCCCTTTTGACGGCAATGTGATTGGCAAGATTCGGGAAAAGCATGATAAATATGCGGACCTCGCCTTTGAAATGTCTCGCTTGCATCTCAAGTACATTGTTGTCTGGCTCCCCATTGTTCTCGGTGCCCTTGGTTTGGACCTCCTGACCTCTTGGCGCAGATAAGGAGAGTGCCCGGGTTCTCCACCGAGAGCACAGCCCTTCTGACACTCTGGGTAATGCAGAAGGCTGCAGTGTTGGGGAGCCTTCATATTCTCCAGAAAGTTCTTGGTGGGTTCGACTAGGCAGCGTTTCCTGGGAGAAGTCCCATTCACTGTCTGGGCTGGGTGTAGAGGGGGCGAGGGGCCCTGAGCTGATGATAAGCCTTACCAGCCTGACTGTGCCAGGATCACCCGAACCCTCTTTGCTGCATTTTCATCTCTAATCTGTAAAACATAATAATAAGTGCATTTATAATGCGCTAAACTCCATCCACTAGGTATACTCATAGCGCTAACAATCACAGCACAGCTTATTATTACCCCCGATAACCCAAGCTGCCTGTGAGGCGCTACAAGGTTATTAGTCACATGACTTATCCCACCAGGTACCCATTTTCTGCTGGGTGAACAGAGGCAATTTTTAACAAACTCACTTGCCCAATGTGTTGCATGGGCTTCGTTTTGGGGCAGGACTGAAGTCCTAGAAACTCTCAGGAGTCAAGCTGCCAAACACGGTCACTCATCTAACCGTGCCCAATGTTACGTAACTTCAACTGATTTGTGACCTGAGCTCTATATGCACAGGACCACACACCACCACATGCAATGACTTCAATACAAAAGGGATTAAGTTCTGGGAAATTCAATGGTAGAAATGTTAATTATTCATTTTGCAGGCACTTGTTGTTTTGATATGTGCAGTGTCAATCTGTTCTGTTTCAGACCAACCCCGCTCTGGCCTCCTGCAGTCATCCGTCATCTCTTTGTACACGATGTACCTCACCTGGTCAGCCATGACCAACAGCCCAGGTAAATACTGCATGTCCACAGTTACCCTGCCATCCTATGTGTTGTTATAAGATCCCTAACAGTACAGTAGTTGCTTTAACCTGAGACATGTCATTGGTTAATTTAAATCCCATGATTCAGATTCAGATATTCAAAATTTAATGCTTGGAGTGATACTCAATAGCAAAAATAACTTTGCCACATGTTGACATATTTTGTTTAAAGATACGTTTTGTCATGTTAATAGAAAAAGTATCTGATGTGATGTATGTTTTATCTATGTAGACAAGAAGTGCAACCCCAGTTTGAGCTCCCTGGTCAACTTCAATGGCACTCTACCCCACACTGATCCCAACAACGGAAGCTTTGACAAGGGAGTGTTTGACTGGCAGGGTATCTTGGCTCTCGTTATCTGGGTTTTTGCTGTTCTCTATGCCAGGTAATTATGCATATAAATATGATGATGACAACAAATTGTTACATTTGTATTAATAATATTCTTGTTTTGTGTTGGAGTATCAGAACTGAATGTTGCATAACCATTTCACATAAAGTGTGTGTATCCAGTAGGGATTGGGGAAGTGTTTGGAAGTAACCTATGGTTGTACCTGTTGTAAGAGGCAAGCCTTGATGACTTGTTCATTGCATGTCGTCATGTCCAGACTAAGAGGGACTTATGGTCAACCACTGGTTTGTATGATCAAGAGCTGATACTTACAGGCTGCAGGGATATTGATGTTACATTGCTGACTGTGACGTAAAACAGCATTAGCTGGTTTACTTGAAGTGTGTACGATGGTATTGATGCCTCTCCTGCTGCTTGTAGTGTCAGGACCTCCTCCAACAGCCAGGTGGGGAAGCTGACCATGTCGGAGAAAACCATTCTGCAATCAGACAATGGTAAATAGCTGACTTACTTCCTTGACATCCCAGTATACTTGGAATCCAGTCTCTCATGACATGTTGAACCAACCTTATATTGACAGTTGTAATTTGAGTTACTTCCCTTAAATGGCCTTAAAAAGTGATAAGTACAATGTTTGTTTAAGGTATTTGTTATACATGACCTTTTTGTACTAGTTTTGACTGGCTTGAATAGTAAAAGGTTTCTTTGCTGTGCCAGGTTCGACTGACTCAACTGCTGATGAGGAGAAAGGCTCTAAGAGTTGGGACAATGAGGAAGATACTGTCGCATACAGCTACTCCTTCTTCCACCTGATGATGTGCCTCGGCGCCCTCTATGTGATGATGACCCTCACCAACTGGTTTGAGTAAGACTCTTTAAGCTTATAGTATTGAAACAGTTGTGATGCTTATCTTTGATTATCCAGAATCGTTATGTGTGTGAACTGTGCTTATTCATGTTCATGTTGTAAACACATGTCTATTAAGTTTTGTTCATGACAGTGTCAATTAAATTATTACTCCACTTTTGTGCCATCACAAATAAACCCAGAAAGTTTGGTACAAAAAGGGCCCAGTATTTTTGGAAAACATCTTTTACAACTGAAAGTAGTCTTACATGTTAATAGTATCATTTGAAAATGAAGATTGTATGCTGTTTTGAAATCATTCCCACGACTGAAATTGTAAGATTCCTAGTTGATGGTTCACCCTTATGATTCTGTATTGCTTTCTAGGCCTAGCTCGGACTTCAAGACTCTGAATGCGAACATGGCCTCTGTGTGGGTGAAGATGGCCTCCAGCTGGGTGTGCATCCTCATCTATGTCTGGACCCTCGTCGCCCCCTGTATCCTCCCCAATAGGGACTTCAGTTGAACAACTCACACGGCAATCCTTGTAATCTGATCCAAGATATTTTAAGTCGGCAGTTGTAATATCTATCACAATTCTCAATAGTGTCTGTAGTTGAGAATGACTACTTTGTTTTATTACATGGTTTCTAAAACCTGTTGATAGTTTAGGATCATTGTTATTTATCAGCAATGTCAAGTAAAGTTGATATTTAATATTTTGAAAAACTTGTAATATTACAGAAAATGTAATGTAAATGTAGGTCTTGACATTACCATATAGTTCATATGAACATCAGTTTAATGACAACATTGCTTCAGTCAGTGTCAGTATGTCGGCCATGCTGTGAACTGTTTTGACTTGTATCTAACTATTTAACAGCTACGTGTTACGCAAGTGTTTGCCTTGCAATTGTTCCTATTACTCCTTAGGAGGTAATTAAGATCAAGTATGACAAGATGTCAGGAAAGACTATGGTCAGTAGAAGACTATATTGGATCTCAATCAGCGTTTTTGTGTAACCATGGTAACAAGGATTGGACATAGTCAAGACCATGCATCTGTAACAAGTTTTGATTTATTCCTTGCTTTGAAATAATTATTTCTTCACGTACCATATTTTTTTTCTTTAATAGATTGTGATAATCAACTGCTGTACATTTATTTAATTGCTTTTTACACTAGTTATATGACATATATATCATTTGTCCAATGGAGACTGTTGGAAGAGAAAAGTGTTGCATTGAGGCATACAATGACCTGTTAAAACATAACCTGTCATGTTCATTGACATGATTCTGTCACATGTGACTGACAAATAGACGTGGTAGGGAATGTTTTGACCTATGGAAAAGAAGACTAGTTGTAAATATGAAAATTCTTTTGTCATAATATTTTGTTTAATGTTGTTCTAGTTGCACCTTTTGTTTGGATATGAACACATGTATGCAGACAATATTATTCCAGTGAAAACTTCCAATTGAATCGTATCCCCTCCCAGAGCTGTGTCACTATGGTACAAACATCAAAATTTTACACGTTTGTAAAGTGTTTTCATGTTTATTATGCACGGTAAACAAACACCCACAATGCAACTGATCTGATGTACGTTCCAGCGATAAGCCAGTTTCAAGTTAAAGAGTTAAACTGAAGGCTCAAATGTGTAGTCTTATCCTTTAGTATTTTGTATCCTTTTAGTTGTGAACTAAGAAATCAGAAGGTAAGTACCGAGTGCGTTATTTATATGACTGTTCAGTCCTGTTGTAAATGTCACAAGTATGTTATGATATTTGAGTTTTTGAACATAATGCTATGTTTGTGTACATTAACATATATTGTATGTTATGTATTGTGCTGATTGAACGTGGTGCATTGTTTGTAAAAAGTGAAGTGATTCTCAAAACTCACTAAGATATTTTATACATAAAGCACAAGTAATGCAGTCCATGCACAGTCTAATTTCTGATTTCTTAACGTCTATCTGATGTTGATAGCACAGTAAATGCGAACTCTCATGAAAGCTGGTAACAGCTCATATTATTTTACAGTTTGAAATATATTGTTTGAACGCAAGATGTAGGAGAAAAAGGATTTATTATAATGATCTAAATGTAATTGTATTGGTTTGAGTACTTCATATCACATACTGAAGTTGTTGTAAAGTGATGTCACATTTTGTGATCTTTTGTGATTTCTGAATAAACTGTGTATGAAAATATCCTCAGTGGTTTTCATTGTTGCTCTTGATATGATAGAAAACATTATGTTATGAGGATTATGGACATGTGACATGTGTTTGATATTCTTGGGTAGAGTTCTCCAGTATTCAGTGCTTGTCATAATGAGGATTGGGTGAACACAATATGTGTGATCCTTTAAGTGTGTCATCATAATGAGTGTGGCCTCCTCTCACCTTCCATCTTCGGGATCATCCGTTGCCTATCAACCCAGCTAGCACTACCTTCACTTGCCTGGTTCTGATTACCAGGCCCCCATGAAACATGATGCTATCATCTTGACTGTAGCACAACACATTGTTCAGTTGTTATGGGGCATTGGGTGCTGTTTGGTCAAACTTGATTATTTACAGACCAGTCATATCCCTGGAATATAACAGGAAACAACAGAACAACATGAATCTGTAACCTGGTCCACTATCATGCTTGCAAGTTTCTTTTTGCTTGTGCTTTTAACCAATAGTTTCCCTGGCATAGACTTGATATGACCAAGATGTAGTTGCTAGATCATTGCAGTGAGAAACATTTACTCATGCAAGTCCGTTTTCGCATTCTTGTCCTAAAGGAGAAGTGCTATATGGTGAATTGAACTGTACTGGGTTTCCTATCAATTTTCAGTAAGGTCACTACAGTTACTATACAATCACACCCTCCATGATAAATCATGGAAATAGGGAGACGCGTCTTTTCCGTAACGCGTAGGTCATAGTGACCTCGACCAAGGCCAAAAACGAAACATGAAGGGACAACTAAAGCCCCTTGCACCTAATTCAAGTCTGAGCTTCAGTTCAATGAACCTTTCCCCATTGTCAGAGGCTACCAGTATACTGAATACCTGTTGATTTCCACCCAGAAGTCTGTACGCTAAGCTATGAATACACGATGGGAGGCGCCCCAATTTACACTTATCGGAGGGGCAAGTCCGTGGTTAGTGGGTTAGATTGCCGACGGTGTGTGCTGGTGATTAGGTGTCCGACTCTGAGGATGTGGGTTCGAATTCCGGATGGGACTCAACCCAACAAACGTACTAGAATCTGTACTTTACCGAGAAAGTGTAATTCCAAATATAACACGTGTTTACATTTGACCACTTTCTAAATGGCATTGGACCCGGAAGATCCGGGTTAGACTTGATCTTCAGTAACCCATGCTTGTCGTAAAAGGCGACTAACGAGATCGGGTGGTCAGGCTTGTTGACTTGGTTGACACATGTCATCGTATCCCAATTGCCTACAACGATGCTCATGATGTTGATCACTGGATTGTCTGGTCCTGACTCGATTATTTACAGAGCGCAGCCATATAGCTGGAATGTTGCTGAGTGCGGCGTTAAACAACAAACCAACTAAATGGCATTGTGTAGTCATGCACTAAATCGGCTGTATAATGCACTCCGACTATGAGTAAGACATTATCACAGTGAGCCATGACTGTGCAGGAACCTATCAAGCTGTCGTGAGCAGCGGAAGGTAACAGGTTATGCATAGAAGGAAACAGGTTATGTTAAAAAATTCAAAAGCGAAAGTGTACAAACAGTCGTTTGCAAGTTTAACTATGATACAAACGATGAGCGTGTACATAGCTGTAAAGGTTAATTAATATATTTGCTCTATCAATATGTTGCTTTTGAAATGGTGGAAAACATTATGTTATGAGGATCATGGACATGTGTTTGATATTCTTGGGTAGAGTTCTCCAGTATTCAGTGCTTGTCATAATGAGAATTGGGTGGACACTAGAGCTGTGTATCGTGGCCAAAGTGGCGAGACGATATATCCCGATAGTAGTTTAATGAGGCGAGACGATATATCATGAAAGTATTGGCAAGGAACCTGCGAGACGATTATCATCACGATACAGTGATGGCGATACGATACTTATCCCGATACTTTACAATCCTAAAAACAGGACATATATGATAGATAAAATGACTGAATCTTCATTTGTTATTCAGCACAACATGTGTTACATTCACACACACTTAAAAGGCTGTTCATGTAATAAGTTTCAGCATTTAATGCTTAAAGGTCACATGCAACCAAAAAATCAAACATAATTAAAACACAATTATCACTTATTCATGACATATAATATACATTGCTGGTTATGAAAAAACATATAAACAAAATTATAAGCGTACAATCGCAAATCAAAATTGCAATATTGTGTACTTGGGTTTACTTCCCAAGAAACGAAGCAGCCGGGATACCGAACCCAGTCAGAGCGGGTGGGTGTGCACTCAAGTGTAACGGCTAGTTCATTTGCAGATGCCCTCACGGCTGATTGTGTGTGTATATGTAGAGATGTTGGGTTTTGTAAATACATGCTCATTTTTTGTGTATAACATTTTGCAATCAACAGACATCATAACATGTCATGTGTTCAACTATCACACCTGCCTGTCTGTGTAATTACATAATGTGACAGAGACCGAACTCGGGCCATAAATCAATGCATTTTGTTTATGGTGTATAGCCTGATTGGTGTTAAGTTCAAATTGCATGTGGTCAGTGATAGCAGCTGTGTATTGAATATTGTCATTAGCAGACAGGCAGGCAGACACACAGGTGTCAATAAAACAAGACATTGAGTTTAGTCTGTGACAACGACATATCTATATCACAGTTAGAAATTCTGTCAACGCTAAATAATGGCATTGCTTTTAAGTATCGAACTGAGAAAGTGACTCGGCAAGAAGAACGTGTGGTGAAATAGACAAATGAAATTATATAAACAGTTAATTTACTGTCATAACATATAAAAAGCTCGCGCCTGTGAGATATCAACAAAACATTAGAAAAATAGCTCACACCAAAGCCTTCACAGAGTATTCACCGGACAACCGCTTCCAAGCTGCGCGAACCTACTTCACCGCGCACGTGCTATAAGCGCAGCCCAGCTGTTGAAACCCGTATTCCCCAGAAAAGTCTGGGGAAAATTAGTGAAACGTTTGAACTCCGATTTCGCGCGTTTTTTTTCATCGCGTTATTTTTCAACTTTATAAGTTGAATTTGCATTTTTGACGATTTGTTTCGGTAAGTCCATACCGAAGGTATCAGAATCTGCAAAGTTGTGTTTTACGTTGCATGTGACCTTTAATGACCAAGATGTAGTTGCTAGATCACTGCAGTGAGAAACATTTACTCATGCAAGTCCGTTTTCGCATTCTTGTCCTAAAGGAGAAGTGCTATATGGTGAATTGAACTGTACTGGGTTTCCTATCAATTTTCAGTAAGGTCACTACAGTTACTATACAATCACACCCTCCATGATAAATCATGGAAATAGGGAGACGCGTCTTTTCCGTAAGGCGTAGGTCATAGTGACCTCGACCAAAAACGAAACATGAAGGGACAACTAAAGCCCCTTGCACCTAATTCAAGTCTGAGCTTCAGTTCAATGAACCTTTCCCCATTGTCAGAGGCTACCAGTATACTGAATACCTGTTGATTTCCACCCAGAAGTCTGTACTAAGCTATGAATACACGATGGGAGGCGCCCCAATTTACACTTATCAGAGGGGCAAGTCCCTGGTTAGTGGGTTAGATGGCCGACGGTGTGTGCTGGTGATTAGGTGCCCGACTCTGAGGGTGTGGGTTCGAATTCCGGATGGGACTCAACCCAACAAACGTACTAGAATCTGTACTTTACCGAGAAAGTGTAATTCCAAATATAACACGTGTTTACATTTGACCGCTTTCTAAATGGCATTGGATCCAGGAGATCCGGGTTAGACTTGATCTTCAGTAACCCACGCTTGTCGTAAAAGGCGACTAACGGGATCGGTTTGTCAGGCTCGTTGATTTGGTTGACACATGTCATCGTATCCCAATTGCCTACAACGATGTTCATAAGGTTGATCACTGGATTGTCTGGTCCAGACTCGATTAGTTATAGCTGGAATGTTGCTGAGTGCGGCGTTAAACAACAAACCAACTAAATGGCATTGTGTAGTCATGCACTAAATCGGCTGTATAATGCACTCCGACTATGAGTAAGACATTATCACAGTGAGCCATGACTGTGCAGGAACCTATCAAGCTGTCGTGAGCAGCGGAAGGAAACAGGTTATGCTTAGTAGGAAACAGGTTATGTTTAAAAATTCAAAAGCGAAAGTGTACAAACAGTGGTTTGCAAGTTTAACTATGATACAAACGATGAGCGTCTACATAGCTGTAAAGCTTAATATATTTGCTCTATCAATAGGAACTGTGGACGCTCAATAGCATGTTTACACATTTTTGTGTTGCTTTTGAAATGGTGGTAACGCATCTTTGCTGAGTGTGCATTGCACCATATCTCAAAAAGCTATTTTGTCAAGAGTGTCGCTTCCATTGTGCTAGCTATGAGAATCTGGCAGTGGCAGTATATTACATTAGGTTATTTGTGTACATTCAAGGCCCTAGAAGTAGTTATTTCAGTTACACCCATTACTTTATTCGATCTTATCTGATTTGAAAGAAACCTGTTTTGCATTGCTGGCTAGTTATGAGGACAGATGGGTTTTCAACTGTGCGCAACTGGGTTGGGAGTGAAGAATATTTCACCACCCGATTTCAGCTACTACTACTACTACTACTACTACTACAATTACTACTACTACTACAATTACTACTACTACTACTACTTACTACTACTACTACTACTACTACTACTACTACTACTACTACTACTACTGGGGTGTCCACTACTACTACTACTAATGCTAAAAGCTGCTACTGCTGCTGCTTCTTCTACAAGCACTGGGACTATTACTTGGGGTAGCCTAGTGGTTAAAGCGTTCACACGTCACCCTACAAAGACCCGGGTTCGATTCTACTCACATGGTGTGCCAATGTGTGAAGAGTATTTTAACCCTTTCTGGGGTCCCCGCCGTGATATTGCTGGATTATTGCAAAGTAAAAGCGGCGTAAAACCAAACTCATATATCACTCACTCAGCTCAAAATCATACTACTACTACTACCACTCCTCCTCCTCCTAT